GCACTAAATAAAAAAAAAAATAAAAAAAAAATAAAAAACATGGCCTGAAGAAAAATTAAATTATGTTGATTGAAATGTGCTTTTTGGTCAACATGGTAATTCATCAAAAAAGAAAAATGTAATGAGTGAAAAAAAAAAACTTTAATTAAAATGGTAAAAAGAAGAGTTCAAAGCTTTTACTTTGAGGGGGAATATTGTCATATCTGATGGCATATCATGAACTTGGATATTTTAAAATGTTATACTCACTCTTCCTCTCCATATTTATTTTTTATATATATTTCAATGATTACATTATATTTGGTAATCATTATGTTAGTAAAAAAAAAAATACATTTTTTTAGCCCCATGTATTATATAAAAATGTAGTGAAGTATGCATATATATACTCATGTTCACAATCCTTAAATTGTGTGTTACAAAAGGCAAAAGATTTCAAATGCATAAAAAAGTGTCAAATACATAAGAACAATATTTTAAAAGTTTGGAAAGCCTTAAACATTGGATAAATCACTACTTCAATAACATTTTCCCTCTCCTTTTTACCAAATTACTTGTCAACTACAAAAAATATCACACTTTTCCATTAATGCAAACAATAAAAAAGCAAAAGTAGGATTGCAAACGAATTGAGCAGTTAGTGAGCCACCCCCAAGCGATCGAGTCGATCGAGCACCTCAAACTCAAGCTGGAGCTCGATTCGAGTCTCTATGTTATAGCTTCAATGTGCTTGATGAAATGTCCTGAGTATAACTGTAATTTACTTAAATACACTTAAATCAAGTTAAATCCGAGCTTAAGAAAAATGCATATTTTGTATATATATTTTTTCTCTTAAAAATATATTCAAACTCGATGTTGAAATTCAACTCGAGAATTTATATACGTTCGACAAATCGATTTGAGCCTTGAAAAGTTGATATCGTCGAGCTCGTGTTGCATTCATAAAAAATCAAGCCTAACTCGATAGAGTCATTGATGGATTCGACTCGACCGTCTCGACTCGACCCGACCGACTTGCAAGGTAAACCAATTTCACCTCAAAATTATATTATATTACATACTTAATTTTGTCCACACAATACATACATGTCATATCCAATCATCAATCCCAAAACACCATACACCCAATATTCCTTCCTTTTCAAGTCCCACTCAACAATTTCTTGATAAAGAAAAGCAAAAGCAAATATAGCATTTATTTATTTACACTATTTTTCAACCATGGTGGCGGGCCCCACATGCTAAAACCCCTCCATGACATTTTTTTATTTTTTATTTTTATTTTTTTCCTAACATAATGATGCTAGTTGCTAACTAAAACCCCACTAGGGTTTATCACGTAGTCTTCATTAATCCCGGGAAAAAAAAAAAGAAAAAGAAAAATATGATAATTAAGGTGGGGCTTTTTCACCTGAATTCGTGTCGGACACGTGTCTCTCCCTTCACCGTCGGATTGGCGCATATTGTCTGTTTTGGCGGTGGATAAGATACGGACTGCCGGTGTATGTCGGTGGTTCTGGCGGCCAGGCGGCGACCGCAACTTCTAATCGTGTTGTTGGGCCACACGGTGGTTGGGCTCGCGTGCGCTTGCTTATATTCCATATGTTTCCCAAAATAAATAAATAGATAAATATAATTATAATAAAAGAATAAAAAGAATGAAATTATAAAATAACTTGAATATCACGTGCCTAAAAAAATACTATGTGTCAAGTAGTTTATAATTGAACTAGACGAGTCGAGTTGGAGCGTTTCGAGCTCGTGTTCGATTTGTTTGAATATTTTTTGTGTTAGTTTGCTTATTTTCAAGTAAAAAATAGTGGCTTTCGAGGTTCCAGTAGTCCGGTCAACAGAGCAGAACAATGGCCCGGCAAGAAGATCCACTACAAGAAAATTATGAAATTCCAACAGAAATCTATTTTAAAAGAATTATTCCAACGACAATTCCAACGGATATTTCAATATTATTTCCGTTGGAATTTTTCAATGGATTCCAACAGAAATTCCAACAAAAATATTTCATTGGAATGCGTTTTTCATTGGAATTTTCGTTGGATTTTGACGATTCCAACGGTGGATTTTCCAACGGGAGTAGAAATAAAAATTCCAACGGAATTTGCATATTCCAACGGAAATTCCTACGGTAAAAAGTCATTGGAAATATAGATGTTGGAATCATCAAATTTTATCTAAAATTCCATTGAAAAACTCATTCCAACAGAATATTATCGTTGCAATTTTCGTTGGAACCATTCCAACGGAAGCTATACCATTAGAATATCCGTTGGAATTTCTATTGGAATATATTACTATAGGATTTTCCGTTGGAATATTACAATTATTTTGTAGTGGTCGACTAACTTGCTCGGGTGACACGGTGAAGCAAACAGCTCGGTGAATATATGAATTAATCTGTTTGGTCGACATAGTGAAACAAAAGCTCGGTTGTCAAGTTGAATAATCTATTCGGTCGATATGGCAAAGCAAATGACGGTTAATAAATCGAATAAACGTTCTGTGATCACATTATAAGGGAAGCTCGATGAGCACATTGTGACCTCATGGGATGGGCAGAAGGCTTTAATAGCTCGGCCTACTAATGTTAAGGGAGAGCTCATCATTATCCAACGTGTATGGAATTCGTGAACTAATAGCTCGTTCGATAATGGGGGCTAAATGATATAGCATAAGGAGATTAACTCGATTAACTGGACAGGTGGAGGGCTTAAACCACGGACCAGCAGAAGTTAGCTCGATATGAGAACAGGGGTTGCTAATAGCTCGGTCAAGGCTCATGTGCTCGGTTTCAAGGCCAAGGTGCTCGGTCAAGGCTTAAATGCTCGGTTAAACGGGAGTGCTCGGTCAAAGGCTCATATGCTCGGTTTGAAGGTAAGTGCTCGGCTGAAAGTTTCTCGCCACCAGCTCGGCTAAAAAGTGGAATACCCGACCATGAGTATGAGCTCGGTCCACTCAACAGCTCGGCTTTCTTAGAAGTTCGGCTAGGCACGCAGTTTGAATATGGAAGTGACTTGGTCGAGCAGGTATTACCGTTAACAAAGTGGGTCACAAAGGACACGTGTAGTGTCAGGATCATATGAGGGATATGTAATCTAACGAACGAGAAGAGAAGCGTACGAAGAAAACTAGGGAATTACATATAAATAGGTAAATCTGGTAAGGGGAAAGGACTAATCACACTCTACAAACCCTAATGTTACTTACAACTACATATAGTTCTCTCTATCCTTTACTGATTTGAGCGTCGGAGATTTATTGCCGGGAGGTGCTATGTAGGTCTTGGGGAGCTCAAAACGGTCGAGGATCGGAGGAGAACTTGGTTGGAGTGCAAGAGTGTTATCATGTTCGTCACAATTCAGAGTTCGTTTGTGTTCAAACAATTTAGTACTAAAAATTTTTTATTTTTTTAAATTAACTCAAGATTCATATTCAATTGAAATTACCCAAGTTTATTTTTATACGATTGCATAACCATTCGACCTGCATGACAATAATCACACGTGTTATTGTGATCCATTTTCTATAGTTAGGTGTTTTTGAAATTCTAATTAATACGAGCTAAGAGCCCTTTAACATATTGACAACGCAATATATATATATAAACTTTGTTATTGAGTGACACCCAAATTAAATTTGTATTGATTGATGATGGGAATAAAATATATAGATAATAATTAATTAATAAGAAAATATATATTATTGGGTTGGGAGAGACGTGCTAACATGGCAAAGACTTGGACATGATGGGGGAATTGTAATAACAGCATGATTATCATGATGTCTATTATTAGTCATTAGAGATATACAATGCCTTGCCATAAAAAGATCTCATTTGTTATCATTACAAGGTATTATTATTAGGAGATGTTACGGTCCCGCTAAGAAATTATTCCGTCGGGGTTTGTAACTGTTGGATCAACTATCATCGACGGTTACATAATGACCTAACGCTTACAAACTTTGACGGAATTGTTAGAATATCACTTGTGAGTTGTCCCACATCGTTCATACACCCAGCTGGGCTTGGGCTTCTCGCATCCGCTTATGGGAGTCTGCTTCCCCACGTACCCGTTTATAGGAGAGTCTACTTCTAGTAGGCTTTGAGCTTCCGAAGAACTCACAAGTGGGGGGGCGTGTTAGATATCACTTGTGAGTTGTGCCACATCGTTCATACATGAAAAATAGACCCACCTTATAAGTTTAATGGGCTACTCCTCCTTCCATCAATTGGTTTTGGGATGGAACCCCACTTGGGCTTCATATGAGCTTTCTCCGCTTATAGTGCGCTTCATATTAGTGGGACCACACCCGTTTTTTCCCAGTTTCTTACAGGAATGGTTCCGCAACGGGACCGTAACTTTTTCCATTATTTACTATTATTATTGTTTTTTTTTT